TCATTATATCATCAAACGTTCTTCATTGCACTTCTCAGTTCTCAGAACAGAACACTGTGTTGTAACAAAGTGGGGAAGTGTGTCAAATGCTAATTATAGAACTTGGTGTCTTGCTGGGGTGACGGTGGAAAGGGGGAGGGAAGGGAAGGAGTAGGCCTTACTGTTCTCGGCCCAGACTCTGACAGCCGAGTGCCTATTGCTCCTCGTTATAATTCTCCTTATATATCTTAACTAGACGCTACCTCCTTTCGCGGGCCAGACTCCTATGGGCCAGGTAAGTTTTTAGTGGGGATAAAGCTATGAATAACTACCAAACAGGAACTATAGGTGGCTAAACATTCAATAAACAAAAAAAGATTAGTGCCATGCTGACAATAAATGTTCTTATAATAGAGGCTGAATGATAAATACATGTATTGCTGATAAAATAATACATGTTACCGTGCTGCTCAAGACAGTCTCATTCTTAATTTTGTAAGCAACACAGAGGCCAATTTGGCAATTAAAGGATGTTCTATTCGCTTTGTGGACTGTCGATGGATTTACCCAGCGGACTGACGTCAAGGCTGAGCGAGCCGTGTTCGGTTTGTCCTCGTACGAAGTTCCGCGACGTGACGAGAGACGATTTAACAGTAACAGTGTTGTGAGCCGGCGTGATAAACAAACGCGACAAAACAGCAGTGAATCTCACTTGTCTATTTGAACGCCTTCAAATCGGCAAGGCGCTTTTTGACTGTTGATACAAGTTTGTTTGGATTTACTTAAAACTGAATGAAAATCATCATCAGCAATAAATCTCTTGTCAACAGTCCAGTTGACAAAAATTTGACGGGCACAGTTAACAAACCGCTCCTGGGAGGGGGGGGGGATAGGTACCCACCACATATAGCGAAAGATTTTATCAGTATGCTATGTTTTAACGTCTAAAAAGTGGCAGCTTGTACCGTATGCGTCCTTGGAAGTTGAGATTGTTTCAGAATGCATCAAGTCTGCTGGTGTAATGATATAGATCGCAAATGGCATAGAGCTTGCTGTTGGGCGGAAATTACGTTGTACAAATGCTATTTATTAGTGTAACATTTCAACACCAGGAGAAAACAAAATGAGAATAGGAATATTAATGGTAGGTAGGATTAGTACCTTTTAAAAATCTTTTGTCGCCTATTCTAGCAAATATCGTCCTGCATGCCGCAAATGGCCCGCGAGCTTCGAATTTGAGACCTCTGCTCTACATTGTGCCGAGTGTAATGTTAGTCTACACACACGACAGCAAAACTAGAGACGAACACACACGACAGCAAGCATTCTAAATGTAATGAGACCGGGTGTAGTGTCTGACTTTTTATAGATCCCCGAAGTGAGTAACATTAACCAAGAGCCCATGGCATACAGGGCGCTTACGTCCCGTGAGTAAAAAAGAGTAAGGTACAATACGGTGACTACCGTGACACCGAGTAAGGTGTCCGTGGAAAAAATACTAAAGATACGTTTACTGATCACCGAAAAATCATATGTCGCGCCCTTGGAATGATAGAGTTCAAACTTCACTTTTTGAAGAACTGAGTTACACACTACACATTACTGACACAGGTGTCCTAGTCACTGTTTGACGCTTAACAAATATCAAGGTATAAAAACATTTCGATTATGATAGTTTAAATCTTTGAATATCTTTTTTTTTCTTCAAACCTATACGTCATGCAGTTAGCGCCCTGTCATTCTAAAGGACGTTATACACTCATAGTTACTAGTGAATTATACTTTTGCAAGATGAGATGTCTGAGGAGAGCGGTCAACAAAATCAGATTGGACATGATCAGAAACACCTGTCCTTGAATACATTCAGAGGCAAACAATCAGGAGTTTTGGACATCTGACACGCATGGCACCTCACCAACAAGTAAAGCGTATAACAAAAGAATATCCAAGATACAAGGCAAGAGAGAGACCCAGGAAGACCCGGATCGAGGGTATAAAGAATATATATCACGAAGACCAACACCATCCCACCCAGCCAGGCCACCCAGCCAGGCCACCCAGCTCGCCAGATACCGATAGCTCTTTCTCCCCTAGACGCCCTAGAGGGTAGGCCTACAAGAGGAAGGATAAAGTAAAGCAAAGCAAAGCCAAGGCAAAGCAAAGCAAAGCAAGGCAAAGCAAAGCAAAGTGAAATAATCATACTCCCGTGGCCCCCAACCTAGGAGACGTATCACCGACATAGCTTGACACACTGTACGTTATCAGGAACTCGCTAACCGCTGGGACGCTAAATTCCCATGTCCTCTACTGCAGCAAGACTGTTGGCGTACTATCTGGTGACATTTAGCGAGCCCAATACTGTCTTGTTTTAATTCCTTTTTTTCATACTGGCGTTCATCATGTTGAAAGTATCAAATTACAGCCGGGAAACCAGGGGATAATACACGTACAAAATTAAACTAGAATTTTAAAAAAACCACAAGCATTAGTCTTAATAGTTTTGGGCTCAACGATAAGACTTTTCAATAGCCTCAACAGATGACAAAAACTCCCAAAAGTCGGAAACTTGAGTACAAGATAACATTCAGTACGCTATTTTCTTGTGTCACTTATATTCGTCATCTATGATTAGAAAGTTCCATGGGTGAGTTGTAACCCCTGTTCTACCCCAACACATAAAACATTTATCCACCTGACGTTTCGAGGGTGGTCAGCAATTTTTTTAAACACACCAAACAACTTACATTCATGAATTTCTATACGAGTCACCTGAAGTAATGTCAAGCATGGTATGTGCTCTTAACAGCAAAAGAAAAGGCACAACAAGACGTGTATAATCCACGTAAGGTTTATTTACCTTGACTGGCCACGATGAGTATGTAAGTACATTATATTACCGAGGTTTTAAAAAGATATTTTTATTGAAAAGAATACACTGAAAGACACGGGGAAATGTTGAAGCAAAAGATGTTTTGCTTCAAAGAGCACAGAAATTATGTTAAGTAAGATTTTTGTTTAAGAAACACGAACAGAAAGGGGAGTGCTATAGTTCTTTTCTTTTCTTTTCTTTTCTTTTTGCATACACGTGTATGTGCATGTGTGTGTTTCACTATAAGCAAAGTAGAAAGAGGGTGGTATTTAAAAGGGATTTTGTTGTCGTCATTGTTGGTAGTGTTGATATTATTATTATTTTAGTCAATGTTGTTACCACCTTCCAGGTTTGTTGTTCCGTTGTATTCTTTTTTTCGGGGGGGGGGGACAGACTTTAAAAAAACTATTTTGTTGTTGTTGTTGTTGTTGTTGTTGTTGTTTGAAAGTGTTTAACGGCGCTCGCAACTGCATAAGGTCATATGAGCGCGCGGGACACATTAAACAGACGTTATTTGTCTTTGCTCCTGTTGGTGCTTCTTTATAATGTGGCCGGGGGAGAAGCGGAGGATCAGTAGGCCTATGTTGTTCTTATTTTCTTCTTTTCCAGACTGTTGACACGCGTCTAAGACACTTAATAATGTTCATCGACATTCATCTCCTCAAGCAATAGTTGTCACTGGGATACCATCCACGCTGTCCTCTTCCCTTCTAAGGTCGATTTTTTCTTTTGGACGATGTGGCGTGGTCGCTGAACTCCAGCTGATGACGGGACGTTCAGGGGAAGGAAAGATACCTTGGTGTTAGGTGAAAGCAAGGTGTCTGTAAGGGGGGTGGTAGGTGGGGGGAGGAAGGGGGTAGGGGATTTAATCTGTGTTACTATAGAGTGCAGTCGAACTTGCTCTAACGACCACCTTTGCAAGACAATCACGAGGAAGCATGAGAAGTTGATCACACTGACATATCATTCTTAAAATATTTTTCATAAAGTGAGTTTTTCTCTATGTACCCTGTTTTCAAGATAAGCACTAAATGTGCTGGCGTCTACGGTGCAATGAGAAGTAAGTTTTCTGCAGCCGTACGAAAAAGGGGACTTTCGAAAACCTCGTGGGGGGGGGGGTATTTTATCGAGTACCCCCGTCTGTCTTTTGTTTGTTTTGGCAAGGTTTTTTACTGCGCTCGCAACTGCATATGGTCGTATGAGCGCCTTCCGTCTGTCTGCAGGAGCATTATGTTCCACGTGTCCTTACAGGCAGGGTTTTAGCAGCTCACCTCCTAGCTGACGATACTTGCGACGACGGTACCGTTAATCACTCAGAACAAAAAGCAATGAAGTTGCTCCATCTTGCAGCTTACCTCTGCTGATGACCCCGATCTTAGGTGAGGTTGTTCGAATTTGGCCTTGACACTGAACGCCCTCACGCCCTTTGTTGGCGGCCATGCTTCAGGATGACGCCCTAGCTTCACCATGGCGACATAATTTTTCTGTTGAAGAGGCCGGAGGTTAGTGGAGAATAATTCTTCTTCTTCTTCTTCTTCTTCTTCTTCTTCTTCTTCTTCTTCTTCTTCTTCCTCTTCCTCTTCCTCTTCCTCTTCCTCTTCCTCTTCCTCTTCTTCACCATCACCATCACCATCACCATCACCATCACCATCACCATCACCATCACCATCATCATCATCATCATCATCATCATCATCACATTGTCACTGAAGTAATTCCGCGAATTCCAACTTTACCTTGAAGTCATTCAGGTGAGACTCTCTTGCATAGTCAGACTTTGGCTCCTGAAGGGATTCCAAAAATCTCAGATTTTCTCTTGCAAGGTTTGTGTGTTCTTGGAGTCTCTGTCGGTATCTCCTGTTTAGCCTGAGTGCAGGTCCATGAGCCATGTAAAACAAAGAGGGATCAGTCAGCTGTTAAAAGCAAATGGTTCCATGGCAAACGGAAGCATTATCACCACCACCACCACCAACACCATCATAATCATCATCATCATCCTCATCATCATCGTCAGCATCATATCATCATCATCATCATCATCATCATCATCATCATCATCATCATCATCATCATCATCATCATCATCATCATCATCATCATCGCATTTTTACCCACTCTCTACAATTATTGTAAACCCAGCAGGCCCTAGAACACTCCGAAACATTATTGGCATTCCGAGAACCATACGGTGCAAGCTGTGGATTCTACACTCTGACATTTCATCAGCCAGGTTTTCCTTCAGTAAGGGGTAAAAAGTACAGTTTGATCTTGTTTGATTTTTCTGCTACCATTTGATATGCTTGGTGAAAATAGCTAATCAGAATGCTGCGTATTGCTGGGTTTTCTTTTGATTACATGTCGAATGCAATAGACCAATATGGATCTCCGGGTCATATGCGATGCAGCAAAGCAAACATCACTTTGTTATAGTGCACACTATCCCTGCCCTTCAGATTGGTCTACCCGACCCGATCCGATATGATCATACTGATCGCCGATGGGCATACGCTTTTATCGTCTCTCTTCACTTTTTATTATCATTCCTACCTGTAGCTTTTATCCATGATTTTGGGATCCAGGTGGCAGTCTACTTTAGCTCTGCTCTGTCGTATCTTGGCGATATTTTCAAACAGCCGCTTGTCTGCCTGATAACGATCGTACTCTGAGACATTCATACTCTGGTTGTCAAAGCAGGGCGGATGTGGGAAAATAGAGAGAAGAACAAGATACGGTACAGGTATGGTATAGCAGTGGAGTACAAACACAACACCAAAGACTCTGGTGTCCTTTTACATCATCCTACAACAACAAATTGTCATCTGAAAGTATTCTTCTACAAGGCTTAACGGTACACGTGTCTTACAACAATATTATGGGGATGATAATTATAGAAGAAATCGTTCTTGTACAGTGTACATTCAAGTTTTCAAAATCTCAAGCATGGCAGATATATTATGTGTCTCATAAGAACTCTAGATTGTGTTTTACGACACTTGCAATACGTTAGTGTCGAATATTAGAGGTGTTACGAAGACGAGAAGGAGGAGACATATAGATAATGAATGAATGTTTGATAGAAAAGGACAAATCACGCAAGGGCACACATTGATCACCCATCGAGACGCAGTGACCTGAATTATGGGCAACCATTTTAAAAATTAATTATTCTCAACTTTTGTTGTTGACTTTGCGTCTGATGGTCTTTTCAAAAGAACAGGAACAAGAAATATATGAGGATGCTTACCTTGACCGATTTCAGGGACTTTGGAATGTAAAGTTTCATAGCTGAAACAGACAAAGGTTATTTCAGCGCCCAGTTACACACAAATGCACTTTATCATACATAGTTAATTTACACATTTCATCTATCTATAAATCTATATGATGTATCTATGCATCTCCCCCCCCTCTCTCTCTCTCTCTCTCTCTCTCTCTCTCTCTCTCTCTCTCTCTCTCTCTCTCTCTCTCTCTCTCTCTCTCTCTCTCTCACTCTCTCTCTCTCTCTCTCTCTCTCTCTCTCTCTCTCTCTCTCTCTCTCTCTCTCTCTCTCCCTCAATTGATAAATAAATAAATAAATAAATAAAGTATGTCATAGTTTATGAAGGCCAAAGTACGGATTCCTCTTAAGTTGTTTTTTTTTTAATCTAGTTTGAGGACCTGTCCTGATCTTGATATCAAAATGACCTAAACACGTTAACTGCGCGCAGTGCTTGCAGCATAATAATATGAGATGTTTTTGTCTATTGGTTTCCGCCAATAGATTGAAGAGACTTTTGTGCAAAAAGTTTCCCCCTTCTTTTGTTAAACCAAACCCTCACAAATTATAATACCCCAATGTTAAGAACTGCGGAGCTGGCCTACCATAGAAAACTGTATCTCCCCTCGACAAGTAACGGCAGCAAAGGATGAAAAAGTATTTATGCAAAACAAGTAACTTAATCCAACAACAATTAAACAAATTCTTGTATGAAAACCAAATGATTATTCTTCAATACTTTTTTTTCGTATGAAAGCGTTTGCATGCTTAAGTTTTGCATTATCTGACGCAAGCAGCATACTTACGTTCGATCTTGGCTCGGTTGAGAGGGACGAAGCTCCTGGTCTCATGTTTCCGCCACTGGTTGATGGCTGTCCCTTGGCCTGACCCCCTTTGACTGTTACCTCCTGAGTGAGGTTTTGTGGAGCTGCAATCTCCTATGCCTTTGGAGGATATCCTGTCGGAAGAGTCTATCTTTTGGGAGACAGCTGAGAGGAGCCGGTTCGAACCTCTTGCGTCACCACGTTGTCTGAGACGTGAATGAACAAGCTCAGATTCTCGTTGATGTAAAATGTTCTTGGAAGACTCCTCTCCGGTTGAGCTCTGTGTGCTGTGGGATTCGCATGACGCAACTCTCAGCAAAGGGCTTCTTCCGTCGTCACAACCGTGGCATGAGTCCCCATGCTCTTTGCCGCCAGACTCTGTCGACAACGTTGCTTTTTTACGAACCTTTTCCCTATTCAGTACAACGTTTGATTGTGTGACGTCACCACGAGACTGCCCAGAACGATCTGTGGAGCAGCTCGACGACCTTGAAGAGCTAGACTTTTCCTGGTAGGGCGTTCTCGCTCCAGACTGATCTAATCGCCGGTCCGTCTTGGGGAATGAACGGCTGTCTTCTGTGGATGGAAGACAGTTGTGCGTCAGCGCCCCAAAAATGGACTTTCTATTTGTTGTTTTGCACAGTTTTTCAACCTGGTCTTGTACAACGGGAACACAACTGGACTCATCCTCAAACTCGTTTTCTACGTAGTTACAACCCTTAGGAAAAACCAGCCCTATCGGGTCACCTCTACTACCTTCGTAATTCGGAATCAGTTTTTGTGTTTGCTTTTTCACTTTAAGCCTAGGTAACGCCACAGGAAAGCGAGAGTTAAGAATGTGGAGAGACCCTCTGAGCGGTACTTGAGTTTGTCCAGCATTCGAAGCCCCTACCCTCGAAGTACAAGCGGAGCGAGGCATAGAGTGATATTCAGGCCTTTTGGGAGGAGTCACACCTTTCACACTGGGATCTGAAGAAACTGACGTGTGGGAGTAATTGGAAGCCACCGTAGCTTTTCTTGGGTTCAGTTCTTGTCGTTTGCTAAATTCTGCTGTTTGCTGAGAGAATGTATCTCCACAGGCTCGTGTATCCAGGCAACTATTTGGACTCGCCGTCGGAGATGTCTGTTGACGTGTCATAATCTCTTCACTGCTGGGGATGGGAGACAACTGAAGCTGGGAGGTATCTAGGAGAGATGACCGAAATTCCGAGGTCACCACTGGTGACAGTCGTCTCTGCAGGGACACGTTACCACCCTCTGCAAGGCTATCAGGTCCGTCTCTCATACTCTTGATAGATTCCTGCAGGATATTCTCGATAAACCCAAACGTCTCACCAAGATTCTCACAATTCTTATTAAGTTCTTGTTCAGGAAGGTCATGTGTCTCCGAAAAGATTCCACCGCAGGTGATAGCTCCGACGTCTCTTATATACAAGTCTGCTGATTTCGTAAAGACTGTCTCACACTTTGCAGAGTTGCCACCACCGTTGATCTCATAATTAAACGAATTAGCAGTGTCTTTTGCTTCAGCATTTGAGGTCTCATTATCTTTATCGTAACATGTGTCTCTTTCCGATACCAGCAGCTCTGTTGTCTCTGGAGAAGCGTCGCCAAAAGAGCTTTCGGTGCCAGCAGAATCTCCAGCAAGAGCTTTTGTTTCCACAGGCTCCAGCCCAAATTTGGCAGGTCCGCTGGTTAGCCAAATGTCGGGATCACAGAGGTCATTTGAGACGTTAGCTGTCGGATCCACAAGCCTGCTATCTTCCTCGTGCCACTTGTCCCCAGGATCTTGGGGCTCCCTAGATATATCATAAGAAATGCTTGCAGCGCCCATGAGTGCCTTTGGAGCCACGTTTGTCTCGTTTGTCTTCTGACCACAAGGCTCCTGTAGGACCTTTATTATAGTGCCACTGTTGGCACAGTCATCTGCAATACATGTGTTGTCTTTAGAATCTTGGGCTTTAAGCGATTCTTTATAACCGTTTGGAGAATGTAAAACACATGTATTCTCAACACAACTGAACACATATTTGCCGCCGCCGCTGATATCCTCGCAGTCACGGCTAATTCTTTCGTTCAGCGCTAAGTCATCTGGGCAAACTCCTTGACTAGAACTATGGAACAAAACAGACTGACATCGCGAGTCTGAGTTCAGGTCTTTCTCCGATACTTCGAGGAATAGTCTCTCTAACTCGCTGTCATCATTGTGAGATTCAGTCTCGTCACACCTCCCACTACCGCTCTTCGTAACGTATACCTCGTTGGGGTTGTGTGTTTCTCGTTCCTTATTGACAGATTTTATTATGTCTGTTTCTTGTTCCCTCGCCCCATATCCTGTTTCATAAAAGAACTCAGCTATTTCTTCCCTATTGATTTCCATTACACATTCCTGCATGTTTTTATTTTCTTGGTTTCTGGGTCTTTGTACGACCTTTTCATAGCCCGTTGCACCGGTTTCCATCCTTGTCCGATTATTTTTTACCAAAACTCTCCCTTGATGTCGTATGTTATAGTTTGACTGTATTAAGTCTCTAGGTAGTTTTCCATTTTCTGATCGAACTATATCTCGTATCCCTACTTCATTATCTAACTGCGTTTTGAGTACCAGGTTGTCTTCATTTTTGTGGCGATTTGTATCCTTCTGTATTTGTTCAGTGCCCAACGGCGTTGCGTCTGTCAGTATATTTTCATTTGCGAATGTAACTTGCAGATCTTTTTCACTTATGGGCGAAGTATCGCTATTTCTGGCGTTTCCATTTTGAAACTTTCTTTCGGTTTCCGGATGGATTGTGTCATGCCATGCGTTTTTATTTTCTGGCGTAGGTTTGACACTCAATGTCACTTCCTTTGTTGCTATGCTGTGCAATACTTCATTTCTCACGGTATTTTTGTCGTGTAGCAATTCGTTCTCGCTTAAGAGAAAGGTATTGTTAAGGATATCTTCCTTTTCTAAGCTAATCGTACTTTGAACAGTCTCATCTTTTCCTTGTTTGGTGACATCATGAAATATGGTTTCATTCCCAGATTCAGTAGCACAATGTGGTACTTGATTATGTTTCCACTGAGTTTTTCCTGACAGTTCGTCTTCTGAATTTCTAGATAAACTCTTATGAGATACGTCAGATAATATTTTAACAGCGCTTAGAGCTCCCTTTGTTCCAGATGCCCGGAGGACCTGACCTGTCCGCATACTCCTCTCTGCATTCTGTCCTTCAGAATCAGTCTCGTTTGTTGTATCTGGTTTGCACACATTCATTATCTCTTTTCTGTATATGGTTATCACCCCTCTGTTATGATTCCCGTTTTCACAAACAGCATCCGTCGGTTGTGACTCGCGAGCATTGCGTCCTTCTCTTTTTCTCTCTTCTGTTGTGTGTTCTTCACCTCTAACTGATAAATTCTTTTGCGGTTCCGTGACATTAGACACTAGGTTCAAGAGAGTATTTTCTTTGTCAAACTTTCTCTCAGCTGTTCCAGAAGAAGACAATGCTGTAGGGGTTTCATCTTGTACCCTGTCTTCAAATTTCGCAACCGTTATGCAGGAGTCCTCTTTTTCTCTGAAGTTTGTGTCGTGTCCCCCATCAGCAAAAGATACAGGTACTGCATTTATATTAGTCACAGCGCCATATATGATATCCTCGTCAAACATTTCCTCTAGATCAGTCTGTTTCTCTAATGATATGACACCTAACTTTGTTGCAGTAGACGTTGAGAGAGGGTCTCGACCAATAGTTTCACTTCTATTTACTCTCACGTTTTCATCAGTTTGTATAGTCCGCGATCTGTCATCTGTATCTTTAGTTACTGAAATAGATTTCCCAGAACAACCAACATCTTCAAGATCCTGTATCGCTTCCGGTGTCCTTTGTACTTTTTCAAGTCTAGAAGAGAAGGGGTTACACTCGTTAACTGATCCGAGTTCCTGTTTGTGGCTCTCCTCGCCGTCAGACACAGAACCAAAGTCGCACATGATCAAGTGCACATCGTCTCTAGCACTGTTGGAGTTCTGAACATTGTTACCCTGTATGTTCAATTGAGGTTTTGACGTCACAGGATCGGCTTGGTTTTCCTCCAACATCTCAGCGCTATTCTGCACACCGCTTAAAGACAGACTTGTCTTGCTGTTGTTTGTCGTCTCCTCATCCTCCCCAAGGGACAATTCGATCGCTCTCAACGTGCTACTGTCTGTCTCGTCCTCTTGCTCCAAAAGAGCTGACTGCTGTTCACGTTGGTCAACTCTTTCACGCTGGGCATTGCGAGATACAGAGTCAGGGCCCATGCCTTTCTCTGTTTTCCCAGAAATGACACTATCAAGAAGCTCGTCGGCTTCCTCATCAGTCCGTTCTCTTTGAGCAATGATGGGTTCATATCCATCTGGGGTATCCACGGTTTCAAAGTCTTTGGAGGGTGATGCGCTGAGTCCAGGATCTCGTGGGCTGCCTTGCTGAATGTTGTCGTCCCCAGGGTGTTGAGGAGGATCTGCACTATCTATATCGTTATTGGGTTGTATGACGGGGTTCCCATTACTGAAAATAGCGGCCGAGTGTTGACAACGCCCTGCATTAAGTTCTGGAGTTTTCGATATCAACACATCATAACACCCCAACTCCAGACCACTAGCGGAATCTGTCTCAGAAAGACACTGGGGAGAGAGGATGTGGGCAGAGGACACTTGGCTGCATTTCGGCATGTCGTGGATGAAGTTACTCCCACCCTCGTCATCATTCTGTCTAGAATCAGGGTCTTCTCTATCGATCTCTCCACGTGTGTTTAATAAAACGGCCTCACTTCGTGTCCTTGAGCAGCTTTGTAGCGGATTCAAAGGGTGAGAAGCTGTGGCTTGATTCTCGGTTTCCATTGCTGAACGCGAGCTCTGAGGCATAGAGTTCGATTCCCCGGCAATAACAGGAGTGCTCTCAAACAGATCAAAACCACGTGTAAGTCTAACATCTTCATCTGAACCGTCCATAATGTTCCTATTTGCTGCAGCACTGATGTTTGAAGCTAACAAATTCCACCTGCTTACCACATCAGATGTAGGATTTGCCTCGCCTAAGGTATTTTCAAAAACTGGTGGTGGTCCGGAAGATTCTGCTTGAAGTGGCTGGTCATTGGTGGGTTCTTGAAAAGATGGCGCTACTTCCTGGCCCGGGCCAGCTTGTGCAGATGTGGGGTGTGGTACGAGTTCGAAATCATCGTCGTCGAAAAAGTCTTCTTCATCCGGCATCCCGTAATCAACAACAGGCGGGCGGGTCACGCGACGGTTATGGTGGCTGGGTACCCGCCCGCTGCCAGGGGGGATGGCTGAGGTATGATCCGTGTGTTCTACACCTCCAGACGTCTCAGCCACGCCTGTTCCATGATTGGCGTTGTTGTCCACTTCATGCCCAGCTACATCAGTTTCTTTCGAGAGCGACAAGTGCCCAAGAGGTCCATACTCACAGTTGCTACTGTATTCCGAGACAGTGGTATATGTTACAGGTCCAGATTCACAGCTGCTTGGGTGATCTGTGTCAGCAATGAGCTCTACATTTCTAAACTCGCAAATGCCACATTGTTTTGGGTCATTTGCTCGTGATATATATCCAAAGTTACAGTGGTAACGGTGTTCGGAGACAGCCACGTTGTCCACAGATCCACTCGCACAGTCGTATCGGTGTTCTAAATCAACCAAGCTCTCCTTCAAAGTATGAACTTCTTTGTTTCCACCGATGGGTTCTTTCTCATCCTCAATTTTCAACTGGTCTGAACTTGATAAAATAACGTCCTTCTTAGCAGGGGAACTGAGACTCAAAATCCCACTTGGATCCTTCCCTCCTACCTCACCACTTGTCGGAATGGTATGCTGAAACTGATTTGAATATATTATAGTTGCAGACATCAAGTTCGCGCCAGTACGTCTGTCATCTGTCCGCGAATTGTCAGAAAATTCTTCTCCTTCGAAAAACATAGAATCCATAACCGGGTTAGTTGCGACTGCTTCCGATTGTTGGCTAGTGTTTTCTTCTTCGGTATTTACTGCATCTGGCGATGTCTCTTCTTTTCCCAATAAAACGTTGTTGTTGTTGTTGTTGTTGTTGTTGTTGTTGTTGTTGTTGTTGTTGTTGTTTCTGTTGTTGTTTCTGTTGATGTTATTGTTGCTCCGGCTCTCCGACGTCCCCAGTTCGAACCGCTCACCACGAAGGAGATAACAGTTCAGAGCTGCAAGCGAGACAATAACGCCCTATCACAGCAGATAATGAGATTCATGCATAAAGAGTACAATTGCTGCCAACCATCCTACGCCTGTAGCCTTGCATTGTCAAACTACAGGCAACTGTCTCTTTAAAAAGAAAGCGTTAGCATGGGGGGGGGGGGGGGGGGCTGCAAGAATAATGCGAAACAGGGTTTGTCAATGAAAAAAATGTTACTACATACTAGTAGTAGTAATAGCCGTAATAGCAGCAGCCGCAGCCGCAGCCGCAGCAGCAGTAGCACAAGATAGTTGTAGTAGCAGCCACAGCAGCAGCAGCAGCAGCAGCAGCAGCAGCAGCAGCAGCAGCAGCAGCAGCAGCAGCAGCAGCAGCAGAAGGTAGTAGTAGTAGTAGTAGTAGCAGCAGCAGCAGCAGCAGCAGTAGTAGTAGCAGCAGCAGCAGCAGCAGCAGCAGCAGCAGCCATGGCGAAAGACGACTTTTTTAAAAGAAGGGTCACCTTAATTAGACCTTTACTACTTCATCTACTTTCACCGAGAATGGCAATCGGAAGGCATTATTATCTTGATTCTACGAAAATGTAAATTTTAAATGTTTTACAACCGCACCGACACAATCTAGATCAGTAAGGATGTGGCTGCTTTGCCCTCGAATCTACTTATCATATCAAGAGCAACTCTGAGGGAATTAGATCTAGATATCTAGATCTAGATCTAGATCTAGATAGATCAAACAAACTATCGCAGCCAATGGACGGATATTATTCTGCACCAGAAGAAATATTTTCTTAACTCATTTTGTTTCCGTATAAGGCAAGGGATTTAAAAACAGACGCTGGAGGTAGATCTAGGTTCTAGAAGTAAAACGGAAATAAATTCAAAGGCTGCAACCATCAATTGTGTGTATTGTGTACAAATAATATGCTTACAATATCTACATCTAGAGGTCTATAGACTGTATTAGATTCTAGTCTCAGTCTCAACTTGTCTTAAGTATCAAAGTCTTACCGCTCAAAGGGAGGCTTTGACATGCCTCGGACAGAGAAGATGCATGTGAAATGTCCCGTTTGTGCCTTATTTGTCTCCGGCTTTCTTCCTTTTCTTCTTGGGGCATTTTGCGTAAAAAGGTACGAACAACAACGAATATAACCTCTGTTAGTCAAGGAGACAGAAGAGAATGGGAGGAGGAAGGCTATAATCAACAGTCACCGCAAATGCAGAGGGTGCACTTTTAAAGTTGTCGGGAATTTCCACATCAAGGAATGAGCGGTCGGAATCTCCCGCGAAACGTTGTGGCGTTTGACAAGGCACTGGTGTGTAAGAATGAAGATGAATGCAGTGAAGGTGATGGCGAGAGACAAGATGCCGCAGAGGAATTTGGTCATGCTCTTTGACATGCTTGTCTTTTCTCAGAGGCGAACAAGACACAAAGTTGAACCATTTCTGAGTGAGGCCCAAATGGGATTTAGAAAGGGAAGAGGATGCACCGACGCAATATTTGCCCTACGACAAATGTGCGAAAGGGTAATAGAACACAACAGGGAACTAAATGTAGTATTTATCGACCAGGAGAAAGCGTTCGACAGAGTGAATAGAAACAAGCTCTGGAAAGAACTCGAAAACTACACTGTAAAAGTAAAAGGCCAACTTCTAGATAACATTGGAGAACAGCATAATAAGTACTATCACCGCTACTATTTATCATATATATATATATATATATATATATATATATATATATATATATATATATATATATATATATATATATATATATATATATATACATATATATATATATTATCATAACAAAAGAGGTCAACGCAGAACCAGACGCCCTAAATGAATTACTCTTTGCTGATGACTGAAGCCTAGCACACAAAGATGAATCAAGTCTCCAACACCACACCACCTGACTAAACGAAGAATGTAACAACTACGACATGAAGACCAACAATGAAAGTAAGCCAGAACCACTCAGGATACACATCAACAACAACAGTCTTAGACAGGTCTTAGAATTTAAGTACATCGGAAGTATATTCACAGAGGATGGGCGACTGAACAGAGAAATTGAAACACGAGTACAAAAGGCCAACAATGTTAGTTACCAGCTTACTCCACTACTGAAACATCCTAACATCCCCATGACAACAAAACTCAAAATGATCAACATCCTGACACTCACTTATCAATGCCAAACATGGACCACGAACAAGACATTAGAGCAAAGAATTACAACATGTGAAATGCGATGCCTTAGAAAAGCAGTAAACAATACCAGGAGAGACAAAATTAGAAACTCTATAATCCGAGAAATGTTGGGCACAAATTATGATGTCATGCATCACACCCAACACCAGCGAATCAAATGGTTCAGACATCTCCTACGATTACCAACACACCATCCAGCACAACGTGCCTACATAAAAAAATTCGATGGCAACAAGGCTAGAGGGCGACCGAGAAAGACCTGGATAGATGGAGTCAGGGAAGCATTAACCACCCACGGCATCCCCCTGACCCAAGCTCTCAGGCTGGCGACAGAGAGACGTCTCTTTCTTCCAGCGACACAAAAAGGGTATAAGCAGTGGATAAAAGTAAAAAAGTAAAGTAAAGTCTTTTCTCAGGTAGATTATGGTTTTGGTCTGCTGACATTGTCCAAGGCGCAACTTAAAAAGCTGAACGTGATCCAGAACGAAGGAATGAGAGCCATAGTCGGTTGCACAAAAGATACATCAGCTGCTGCAATACAATATCATGTGCTAGGCCTACCCGGCATGAATGAAAGACACACGCTCGCACAGTTCAAAGTTTATCTGAAAGTCTGCGTAGATCCACACAATCCCCTTCATGACAAAGTAGGTCGCCAGACTAATCCAAGACTTAAACAGGGCACGGAGTGGATGACCCAAGCAGTGCAAACCATTGAAGAGTGTGGTCTCACTGAGGGGGCAATCAGACGAGTGGAGACAGGGGTACAGCTTGCGGACGAGGTAAAAGACAGATTCACTCAGGTGATTGCTAAATTAGGGTGAGAATGTCGTGAATGGCCTGAAGGAACAACACATGCTGAAATCCAAACTCTAATTGAAGAGAACTGCAGAGAGGATGAAACCATTATCTTCACTGATGGCTCTGTTCAGCGTGGGATCAAATCAGGCTGGGCTTACACGGCTTTTTGCCAAGGAGTAACAAGCCGGGAGGCATCTTGGGCAACGGGCCTGACTACATCAAACATGTGCATGAAGATCAAGGCCATCACTGAGGCTCTGAAATGGCTTTGCACTAATGGATGCCAGTAGGCTACCTTTGTTACAGACTCAATGAGTAATTTGGATAAGATCTCTATGCAGATTGGTTTAAGGCAATCCAAGACAGCAAAATCAGACGCTTACAGTGGATCTTCTGCCCAGGACATGCATGAGTCAAGGGAAATGAAACTGCAGATAAGCTAGCAGGCCCCACAAACGTAGAAGGAGTGCTTACCCTTGACCCTCCAACTGTAGTAGCCCTTGTCCGAGAACACCTAGCTAGCAGCCGTAAAGAGGACTCCTTCACGAAGGAGGTTGTGATTGTGAAAGGAGTGCAGCCCGGAGAAGGGAGGAGAAGGCTGCGTGACCACATCAGACGGTACAACAACCAACTGGTGACGGAGACAATCAGCCTGCCCACACTGAAATGGTCCCTCATGAAGAGGGGTGAGGAAGCTTGAGGCACCCCGTCTTCCTAAGACCCCAGTTCTACATTCAAGTAATTCAAGTAATGAAACGTGTTACCGTAATTTCAAAATTTGAAACTTGACTCCACATTTACGTGATTTTGGGAATTTAGCTATTAAAATAAAAACAATTTCATCTAGTGCTTTTGTTTCAGTCTTACCAACTCAACCCCCCCCCCCTCCCCCACATAAAACCCATTGTAATCATTCTTTTTTCCATCTTCATTCATTGTACGAGTACATTTTTTCAGTAAGCAACATCCTAGCATTCCGAACATGTTCATTGATGCTCCGTTGCTCTCTCCGAACCTCCGCTGGGGGTCTTTCTACTGATTGTGCCAGTGCATATCTTGTTGAACGTTCTTCTGTTCTTTCCTACAAGGTTGTCAGATTTTCCACTTCGTTTCTGTACTCCCAAAAACCATCATCATCTCCTCAGCAGTACAGGCCTCTGTCTACGTATCTTCCTCTTCAATCAGGTGGTGAGAGAGATATTTCAGGATCTCGACCTTGTCTGGTTGAACCTTGCTGTCAACTGAGGAGGCATCACCCGCCAGTCTGTCGGCTTTTTTATTTGCTTTAACGCCTGCGCAGCCAGGGCAGAAATCCATGTGAGCGATCGTAGCCTATTGGCGTTGCTTCGATCAGTGCAATCTTCATAACCCTCATATCTAAGTCTGTTTTCATTTTACTTTTGCCCTCTAACTCTAAGCAAAAGGTGTAACCAATTCTGTCTGCCTTTACTTTTTGAAGGCCATTTGAGTTACCACTGGGAGAAAATAATAAAATCCCTCGATCTTATATAATTGTAATTGTAGACTTTTATGCCCCTGTCGATACTATTCTCAACATTTAGAGGGCGGACTGTTTCGATCCTGCTAATTAGGGCCAACCCAAGCTGACGGGATACAAAGTCCAAATATGAAAATGGAGATATTTCTTTCAAAAATCCCCAAAACGGGAATCGAACTCACATCTTCTGGTAGCAACGGCAAAGCGCCTAACCGCTAAACCACTCGCATCGGTATTTGGTACAATTTCCTCTGAATACAGAACAATGGAGAGAAAAAAAACAATAATTTGTATCGTTCAGCAATGTAAGTTCTTTTTATAAGGGAAACGATTATTTCAAACACTTCTGTT